GGAGAATATACACGGACCACTCTCCTGAGGACCTCTCAGCTAAACTGAAGCTGCCACTCAGCAAAGGAAACTGGGAAAACGTCTCCTAGGATAACGAGCTTGCGCTGCAGCTGTATCTCTTTCTGCCCTTTAACCTTCTTGAAGCTCATCTCTCTATGTGTCACCGGGCGAAGCTGTAGCGAGTCCTTTTCCGTCCCGCCAGTCAGCTCCTCAGTAATGACATGAAGACTTATTAACTATGGAAGCTTGGCCTTACTTAGGTTTGCTTTTAACCAGCTCACAACTTAACCCATTTCTGTTTGTCTATGTACTGCCACATCCTGCTTCCTCTGTCTCCACGTCTCTCTCTTACACACTAGATTCCTCCTCCAACTTCCTCTCTCTTCCTGGAATTCCCGCCTAGACCTTCTGCCTAGCTATTGGCTGTTCAGCTTTTTATTACACCAATCACAGCAATCCACCTTCGCATAGTGTACAACTATCCCACACGGTGAAAGTGTGTGTGATCTGGAAGCAAGCGTAGCTCCTTGCTTAAAAACGACTCATTTCACGCTCACGGTTTCACAGCTGCAATGGAATCATCATCCAATTCTTTTGAGAAATGTGGCTTTATTTCTCATTCAGTCAGGAAGCTGATGGAGCAAGGCACTTTGGGAAAAACCTCCAGTCTTTCACTTGCTTATAATTGCTTAACAAACCGCCTTGTCCCTCGGTACTGCAGTACTTGGTGAGTACAAGCCTTTCTGTAGCTGACACTGTACCTATGGTTCACCATGAAATCCCATAGCTTAAAAGGTTTCTCTATGACACCAGCACTATTTTTACACACTGCTCGTGCTAGTAATGTCACCCTGTGTCTTTTTTTTTTAAGATTTTACTATATACATATAGGTGTTGTACCCTATGTATATCTGTGTACCACGTACATGCAGCACCCTCAGAAGCCAGAAAAAGGCAACAGATACTCCGGAACTGAAGTATAGATGATTCCAAACCACACGTGGGTGCTCGGGTCCCTTGAAGAGCAACCAGAGCTCTTAACCGCTGAGCTGCCTCCCCAGCTCACTGTTCTTCCTAAGAAGAAATAATAGAAACCAAAGGAAGAGCTAACGATATAGACTCTTGTAGAAAATATTGAGTCTAAAATATTGGCTCCCTGGATGTTGGATTTACCAGGAAGCCATCCAAAAGCAATAAAGAGAAAATTACAGCTATTTAAAGGTAGGGTCTGGGGAGAAAGAAGTAGATTTCATCAATTAAATAAGCAAAAAAATCCTCTGAGAAAACCTTGGGATTCTTAATAGTACTGGAGGAGCCCAAAATTCTCTATGATATTGTTCCAGAAAGTAGGGGCACCTAGAACTGTAAAAGATCATGGAATGTCTGGCTTAAGAAGTTGACAGTTTAGAGAGCATTAATTTTTAATTAGAGAAACAACAAACATTCAGTGTAGACACATTGGAAAATCAAAAGTAAATCACATTTTTAATCTTACCTATTTGTTTTATGTGTATGAGTATTTTGCTTGTAAGTCTGTGCACCACATGCTTCCCTCAAGGGCAGAAGAGGGTGTCAGATCCCCTAGAGCGAGAGTGACAGCAGTTGTGAGCTAGTTATATGGGTACTGCAACCAAACTCAGGTCTTCTGTACGAGCCATACCTATTTGTAGCTATGGATAATAAAAAGGGTTATTTATTTGAGGGGAAAAACTTACAGATTACTGTCCCAAACAACAGTCCTCTCATCGCAAACAGGAAGAGTCTAGCAGCCAGAAGCAAGAAAGAGAGCACCCGGTTCCTGTTGCTTTTTAAAGTATCAGAGACCACACCCCAGTGAGCTGATATCTTAAAGGCTATTGGCTGAAGGAGCAGAATGTGCTCCCACAGCACCTCCCCCTTTTTGTTTAAATAAGAGAGTTCCAAACCCAATACAAAACTATAGACACTAGGAACAGATATCAAGTATAATTAGAATTACAAACAGCATAAACAATATTAAGCAACATATGCTAAATGTTTTAACATTCTTTCCTGGAGTCTAAGTCTTGTATAGGAAATGGCTTGACTAGATCCTAAGAGTACAGTAACTACGACTATCTAATCTTCAACCCCATCAAAGGCCTGAGAAGGGAGATAATATTACTTGAGCAGGCAGGAAGTACAATCAAGTAGCTTCCAAAGAAAGCAATATATGATGGAGACAATTAGCTACCTGAGCAATCACCCAAAGTCTCATTTGCAAGATTGGAGCAACCAACTTTGGCTAAGGCCTCGTGTAACTTACAGACCATTTTCAAAGGCAGAAAATTTTTCAAAACCATCTTACCCTGTCTTGGCAAGATTTAACAGTCTTGCTTATCCATTTCTGGATATCATGTAACTTGTCAGTGCTTGAGGCATTGTCAGTTTCTTGTCCAAAGGCCAGTTTTGCCAAGAAGAAAATAAGCTCCAAGTGGAGTGTCTTCAGTGCTCAACATTCTCTCGGAAATAGATTGGTGCTGTCAGAAGCAATTATGTCTCATTCAGCAGAGCCCTAAATTATTTAAATGCCATGTTCCACAGATCCTTGAAGTGGTTGAAGAATACCTATCTCTATGTATCTAAAGAACCTAGTTGATCTGGTATATGAGGTCCTTCTGTTTATGTGTTGTTTTCATTGGTTGAATAAAGAAACTGCCTTGGCCTTTTGATAGGGCAGAACTTAGGTAGGTGGAGAAGACAGAACTGAATGCTGGAAAGAAAGACAGAGTGGCAGACACCATGGTTCTCCTGCCTGAGACGGATGCTGGTTAGAATCTTGCCGATAAGCCACAGTCACGTGGTTATATACATTAATGGAGATGGGTTCAACTAATATGTAAGAGCCAATAAGAAGTTAGAGCTAATGGGCCAGGCAGTGTTTAAATGAATAGTTTTTGTGTGATTGTTTCGGGTGTAAGCTAGCTGGGCAGCTGGGACAGAACAAAGGGCCCCTCTCTCCCAACATTGATCTGACTGTATGTACAACAAACATGAACAACTATTGACCTAATACTGGTATCTTGACCTTAATACCTGTATCTTGATCAGAGGTAGGAGTAATATATATTGCAATATGAGAATATAGCCTAAAAGTTGTATCAATATACAAAATGTCCTAAACCAAGGTAGAAACATGCATATATACAATCTGACAAAAGAATTTCATATAAATGTACAAATAATGTAATCAAAAGTAACAAATATAATTTGAACTTGTATCAATATACAAAAACTATACCAATGTAAATTATCTATGAATAATAGCTCACAAGTATTCACTCTATTACCTACTATTACTATCCCCCCATTTTTTTTTAACAAACATAGTTTTCATCCCAACCCTCTATCTAGTACAAGTAATAATAAACAACCCCTAAACAGTGCTCCCAAACCCTATGGACAAACTTTTTTGGAATGGAGGCGTCATCTTCTAGAACTGCTTCTCACTGCCATGGGGCAATTTTCTCTTAATGGGATCCTGCAAAAAAAATTAAGTGGTGGTTAAATCCCAAAATCACTGTCTCATGCAGTTGCAAACAATTTCTGAGCAGTCAATAGGTTTTTTTTTTTCAAAGTTCTCATTTGGAGTTCTGGCCAGAATGTGAGAAGGTGCACCATTTCTGTAAAAGGAACGAGTGGGCTGTGTTCCTGCCTGGATTCCTGCTAGCTTACCCCTGAAATAATTACATGGAAACTGTATTCTTTTAAACATTGCCTGCCCCGTTATCTCCAGCCTCTTATTGGCTAACTCTCACATCTTGACTCAACCCATTTCTAATAATCTGTATGCCACCACGAGGTCGTGGCTTCCCAGGAAAGATTCAGCATGTCTGACCTGGTAGCTTTATGGTGGGCGGCTCTCTAACCCTGCTTTCTTCCTCCCAGAATTCAGTTCTGTCTTCCCTGCCTACCTATGTTCTGACCTATCAGGCCAGGCAGTTTTCTTAATTAATTAACCAATGAAAGCAACAGGTAGATAGAAGACTCTCCTACATCACATTTCAGCAGCCGGTACCCAAAACAGTCTTGTAGTAGCGCTGTCTGCATCACGGTGTCATCTCAACTAGGTAGAGCAGTTGCTGTGGGGCCCCATCTTCTTCTTGGAAACTTCAAAGATTACTGCAGAAAAAGGATCTGTAGGAAAATCTATTGTTCATCATGGAAAACTTAAACATCATTCATATAAACATATATACATTGAAGAATATGATATAGACAAAATAGGCATTGGAGAAAGTAAATTTTTTCCTAAAGTCTTCCTTCTGTCCCATACCAGATGGCTCCTGATATGAGACAGAAACTCTGAATATTTCTTTTAACAACACACTTGGATTTAGAGATGTACAGAGCCATTGTCCAACTCCAAAACCAGTTAAATATATTAATAGATGATAGATAGATAGATAGATAGATGATAGATAGATAGATAGATAGATAGATGATAGATGTGTGTGTGTACACGTGTGTGCATGTGCATGTAAAGTGTAACCAGTACCTTTATACATAATCCATATTCTGTTTTCTAGATGATCCTTAGTGGATAGTTATTTTTCATTCTGTCAGCATTCAAACATCCAGGGTCGCTTGGATTTTTGATGATGTGTAATTTTCCTGCAAAGATAAGAACAGAACCCTGCCCCAACCCTATATGTCTTTCCTTACCCAACCTGAATGGTTGTCACTGTTGTGGATGAGCTGTCAATTCATTGTTTCAATGGGTTTCTCCTTTTCAAAACAAATCTTTATTATTTTTGATGGTATCCATACTTTTTCTTCTCCCGTAGAAAAAAGAGCAAAACCCCTTCCCCAACGCAGCACATCTCCTGGTTTCCATTGTGAGGTCAACACATCCTTGAAATAAACCAGTTGAGTTTCTTGATCATTTCTCCAAGAGCATGCTGGTCTTAAGTTTTGTAAACACACTCACACAATGTGTGTTTTTGCACAACGTTTTTGGGACAACGACTTCAAAGTGAAAACCGAGAAACATAATCACACTGTTTCTTTGAGCCCTGAGAGAAAGAGAAGAATTGGTGACAACGCAGACCACTGTGATGACCCACAATGCCTAGCAAGAGTTTTCAGAAAATCCCTGGCAGCTGCACCATCAATGGACTCTGATCCCTGACCACCCATATCCCAGCATCTCCAACGTGCAACGTTGGAATGCGTTTTCTCAGTTTGAGACTCTCAGACTCTGCAACGACTACAGCCTCCTCGTACAGAAATGAGGAAGAAAAGCCTGCAGATGGAAATCGTTAAAGTCCTAGCTGGGCAGGAGGCATTTAAGGTCATTAGTTGCAGCCGGGTGGTGGTGGCACACACCTTTAATCCCAGCACTCGAGAGGCAGAGGCAGGCGGATCTCTGTGAGTTCGAGGCCAGCTTGGTCTACAAGATCTAGTTCCAGGACAGACTCCAAAAGCTACAGAAAAACCCTGTCTCAAACAAACAAACAAAAAGCAATTGCTGTACTTAATCATAAGTTCAAGTTCAGATCCCAGCACCCAACATAACAAGTCAGGTGTCTCCAGCACACCTGTAGTCTCTGCACCAAGCAGCGGGGAAACAGGAGGACTCTTCGGTTCAAGAGATCTTACCTCTAAAGAGCAGGCAGATTGAAGCCTGATGCCTTCCTACACATGAACAGCCACAACACTTGCGTGCCCCCCCCCTACACAAATAAATCTTTTTTAAAAAGCAGTAGCTAATCTACAGCAATAGCCTGGTACTAAGTCACTGATTAGCCTTGCTAAATTGATACATATTTGCTTATCAGTAAAATAAACGTAAATGTTGCATTAATTGTATATTTCTCCCAGTTTTGCATGTATTTTGAAATCTTAAACTTTAGAGTTCCTTTTTTTAAAAAGATGTATTTATTGTTTTCACATTTTCTGTGTATGAGTGTGATGCCTGCCTGTGTGTCTGCCTTGTGTGCATGACTGACTGCTGCCTGGAGTCCAGACAAGGGTCAGAGGCTCTGGAGCTGGAGGTGCAGCTGAGTGTGAGCCTCTGTGGGAAGGCTGGGAAGGGAACCTGGGTCTGCACAAGAGCAGCAAGTGCTCTTAACCTTTGAGCTGTCTCTCAACCAGGTCTTGGCCAGAATGTCCTCCCAAGTCCTTGAAAGTGGTATGAGATCTGCAGCAACCCTTTCTTCACCACCTCGGCCAGTCCAAGCAAGTCTCCAACCCTGAAGAGCGATTTTCCCAGCCTTGTGCCTTTTCTGGATGCCCAACTTGAGAATGAACCACTTCAGAAACATGGAAATCCATTAAGTACAGCATCACATTTGTCTCCCTGTGGTAGAATACTTGTCTCAAGTCCTGTGTTCAATCCCTAGGGAAAAAAATAAAATTACTTATTAATTCATTTTAAACTGACCATACATCTCACATGACTTTTAGAGACGCAACCTAAGAGATACTGAGATTCCAAAACATTTAAAAGACAAGACATAAAATCCAAACTGAAGAAAGGTTCTTTGGTAAGAAGTCGGCCAGGGTTTAGAAGCAGGTGGAGAGCACAGGGTTCCAGAAGAAGCGGAAACATCACACAAACACAGCCCACTAACAGACATCTACAATGAAATAAAGCAAGGCAATTAGAAAGTTTCCAAATAGAAAAGGGACAAGAAATGAATACGCATTCATAATCCATGACATTCCCATTAATAAGGGGGTATACACTCGCCCATGGTGTCACCTCCCAGGCACAGTAACGAAGGCTGTTTTGTCTGGTGTTGTGGGGTAGGTACCCCAGAGAAGACTACCAGGTCAATGGTTTTTGTCAAGCCGTTGTTAGTCTGCCTGTGACTACACTGGGTGTTCAGGATCACAGTGTAGTCCTGAGCCTCTCTCAGGGTCAGCTCTTAAGCATTAAAACCATATCCTGGTTTGACCTACTTTAGTTAACAAGAACAGTTAGTTAGAAGTGAAAGAAACTACAGAAGCTGAAAAGCAAGGTTAGAACATTTACAGACTTTCCCAGAACTATGAACTTTGATGGATTAGGCCTTTGTTTTTGTTTTGGGAAGAGGTGTGGTCTTCATGCTGACTTTTATGGCCTGAATGGTACTTCCATCATGGAGTCTGTTGTGCTAAGGTCTGGGGGCCTACCAAGTTTGGAAAGCCTGTTACATAAGGAACCTTGCATCCTTGTGTGAAGACAACAACAACAACGTGTTTAATTTCCATTCTGGTTACCTTTAACATGACAAGCACTGTGCTGTGGTGTATACATTTTAGGATATTCTTACACACCTTGCCCCAGTGACATTGGTGGAGAACATGGTTTCAAACACTGGGAACTACATCTACAAAGCAGTTCTTGAATGAGGATGTTACCCGTTAGCCACCAGCAGGAACCATGACAATGGTGTGGCTACACTACGGATCCTAAAACGGGGAGCATGGGGTGAGGGATGCAGCTCCACTGGTCCCTGCTTAGCACACATGCTCTCCAGCATCACGCGGAACTGGCTCTGATGCCCCACGCCTGCCACCCCAGGATTCAGGAGGCGAACACCAGATAATCTGAAGTTCCAGATCATTCTCAGTTATCCTTGGATACACAGCGACTTCCAGGCCAGCCTGGGCAACCTTGAAATGAGAGAGAACCGACGAATGGGTGCCTCCCAAACTGGTTCTGAGTTGTATTTTTTTCACTAAGAAAGTTCTTCCTCTTGCAACTGTCAGGTAGCCCAGGAAAGCCCACTTTCCTCACCAAAATCATTAAGGACACTAAAGGAATGAATCATCTTATCTTCGACACCAAAAGAGTGGGACTCCCACGTGTGGGTGTATCATCTGTAGTCAGCATGAGGACAAACCTCTTAGTGCAGGTAGCCAGACAGCCCTGCTGGCCTACTGAAAACTGAAGGCCACTGAGGCACATCACCAGGAAAATTAGGCAAGCTAACACACTCCACCAATCACAGTTCAGAAGGACTCCTCTAACTTCTACTATAACAACTCCACCTATCTGTGGTCGAAACCAGATTGCTAAAACAGGAAATAACCAAGCTCTAGATGATATCAGAATAGAAAAACAAGCAAATCACTTCCGCAGAAAGAGGTGGCAAGAGGTTTCCCAAAGCACAGCGGAAGCTGAAGCAGCAGCTTAGGGCAATACTCTGAAGAGAAGGTACCGTACTTCCTATTCAGTCTATTTGCTCAGTGCGGTGTCCCAACAGGGAGAATAAACGGACCTTGAAGGAAGGAGTAAAAACAGCCCGTCCCACTTCCCGACTGCTCTGCTGTGGCTACAAGAACTTCATTCCGGGGAGGATCGTGATTAGACTAAATTCCATAAAAGCTTTTCCGGTGCAATCAAACTATAAAGCTTGTGACACCAATAAACACTCCACTCACAACTGCCTTTGTACAATTTGAAGGGAGTACCAAAGCGTCTGGGCGCGCGGTGGCTCGAACAGGCTCAGAAATCTGTTCGCCGGAAGTTAGACCATGTTTATGCTTCCCAGATTTTGTTGTTGTTGTTCTTTATCCACCTATAACCTTCCAGACCTCTGTCAATTACCAAGAAACCGCTACCTGTGTCAAGGGCGAGTTCTGGGCACCCTGACGGCTGGAGCCAAGTGACGGAACGCCCCCTGCCGGCCAACGCAGCAAATTCTGGAAGGTGAAGTGGCCTGGCTCTCCTGCAGCACCAGGCTTGATGCAGAAGGATTTGTATGGGGTGGGGGTCTGTCTCTGCAGAGGCAGGGGCTTTGTAAGGAAATATCTGTCCAGGTTGAAGAGATGGCTCAGCGCCCAAAAGCACTGGTTGCTTTTCCACAGGACCCAGATTTGATTCCTCGCATCCACGTGACAGTTAACTCCAGTTCCAGGTGGATCTATCGCCCTCTTCTGTCCTCTATGGGCACCAGACAGCCATTCTTGCAGGTAAAACACCCACCCACCCACAAACACACACACACACACACACACACACACACACACATTTTAAGTTACTGTCTGTTCTGGTTGCCAGGTGACTTTCACAAGGTTCCCCTTGTTTCCTCCGTCTGGGGAATTTCACTCAGCTGGGTGGCCAGGTGGGTGAACTGATTGTTTGGTTCCTTTCTCTGTCGCCCTTTGCAGTTCCTTTCCCCTGAGACTTGAGAAGGGCAGCTGTCAGAAAACTCAATATGGGAGAGGGACACACTCCACTAACTTAGCCACAGCCTCATAAACTTGATGTGATGTCACCAGCAGATGGAGTCAGAGACACAGCACCATCCCCCCTCCCCAGCAGCCTGAAGAGATCTCTTCCCCTTGGGAATCCACTCAGACCTGGCCAAGAGCTGTGGCTTCACCACCGGCTAAGGGCTCCAGGAATGGTCTGTATGAAGCAAAGTTGGCTGTATAAACTAGAAGGTGCTTCCAGAGAGAGAAACACACCTAGACAGTGTGGTCTTCTAACAGAGTCACAAGGAGGTGTCTTTACAGTGGGAACAGGTAGGATTCGGTGGCTCACAGGACACGTCTGAAAGTCACTAAGAAACTCCTCTTCCCTTTTTAATGTTTCTCAAAGAGTGTATCTTATAGGGTTAAACATCCAAGAATTCTCCTCCATAAACAAAGTTGTGAGATGGGCGTGAGTTGTGAATTTGGGTGTCAGCCTCACCCTGGTCTCCATATATCCAGAGTTGGAATGTTCGGGTGGAACCTCCATCCAAAGCTCCCTCCCCTGGAGTTGCCTAGAGTCAGACCCTGCCCCTGAGAAAACTGCCAAATGATGACCCCTCCCCCAGAGATGCTCAAGGCCACTCCCACAGGGTATTTAA